CTTTTAATACAAGTGTGGTGCTTTGCAGACTTTGATCTCCTGGATGCATTCCAGCTTCCTAATGTTCCTCCTAAGTGAGGCACCCATGTAGAAAACACATTTCCTAGGACCATCTGAACAATACAGAGCTGCACTTATTCTCAGTTCTTATATTCTGAGCACAATATTCTCTTAAAGCATTTCAGGATGGCATTAACATTTTGGGGCAGCTTTACCACTCTGTTGATTCATACTAAGCATGTAGTAGACCAAATGAAGAGCTTAGATTCAGTCAAATAAAGCTTGAGGGTACTTCAGCTGTCCTACTTGAGCCCTTTGGAATTTGAATTCACCAAGACTTTTTCACACGAACTATTTGTAATAAAATTCCTTTTCTCTTGTCCTGTACAGGCAATTAAAAATCTACACATAGGTATTCACATCTGTTTCAAGTTTATTTTATTTGATGAATTCAGGCTATTCTACCATCCATTATATTAGCACAGGTACAAGCTATGGCTTATACTTTCTGACATTGTGGATTTCCATAAGTATTACAGCAATGTTTATATCAAAGCTATTGATCAAAATGTACAGCCTTATCTTCCACTGCTTACAAAGAAATAAAAAAAAAAATGTACAGCCATAACTGAGAAGTCACAAGCAATATCTATTTAGATTAAATCAATCATTACCTTTTGGAAGGGGTATTAATTCGATTACATAGCTACATAATTATATTGCCATTCATAGCATGTTTCTCCATCTTTTCGATAAGAGATTTTCAAATGTATGACATAAATATAGACAGAACACAAAATAACTATAACAAAATATATATGATGTGTTTTTAAAGTACATGGGTATTAAATATTTATCAATTCCTTCTCTATAATCTAGGATAAAATATGAATTTATGTTATAAGGAGAAAAAGGATTAATATTTTGTGAAAATATCTAACTAGTATTAATAGAGTTTACCTTCATATGATTAGCTATGAAATATATTTAAAATATTTCAATTCATTGTGTACACGAAATTTAATCATAATGTTTCTGCTTCGAGCTACTTGTTCAAAATCCATTTCTTAAAAAGTTGTCTGTTACAGAATCATGACAAACAAACAAACAAACAAACAAACAAACAAAACTCACAGATAAGTGAGAGAAAATTCTAAGTGCAAAGAAAATTTCAGTTAGCACAATTAAGGCTAAATAAGGTAGAATTTCTAAAACATTTTGCCGCTTCTCTTTTATCATTGTTAAAGAAATTTGGATATTTGTAATATAAGATCATTTAATGCTCAGCAACATTGTGTTTCTCATTGGGAATCACACAGGATGCTGATTTTGGCTTACCTGCTGTCCCTACTTCTCCCTCTTCTATTACGCCATTAAGTATGAAATGTCTGATTGCCTTAAGTACTAAGTTTGATAGTTGATATCTTTGACATTTCACCTTGACACTTCTTGTTTTATTTTTATTGTAAAGGTCCATTATCAGTCTTTCAAATGTATAGTTCGGCTTGTGATTATCTTTCAAATTTGTTTTAGAGCAATTTTTGTGAAAGCACAGATAAATTAAAAATCTGTGTTATTTTCAAAGGTGAGTTTTGTCATGGAACCAATGCAGTGCAGACAGCTTGAGGTGTCAACCAAGTGTTTGGGAAGAATGTGGCTAATGAACGCATAGTACGTCGATGGTTTGAGAATTTCCATTATGGCAATTTTAATCTTGAAAACGAGCCACGTGGACAACCTGAGATCAAGGTGGATAATGATGAGCTGAAAGCTGTAGTGGAAGTAAATCCACCTCAATCTTTGCATAAATTAGCAGCAAGGTTTGACACTGACAACAATATTGGACCATTTGAAACAAGTGAACACAGTAAAGAAGCTGATTAGTTGGGTTTTGCATGAATTAAATGAGCATCAGAAAAGAAATCGTCTTGAAGCTTGCCTTATTTTGGAATCATGACATAAACGCAAACCATTTCTATACTGTATTGTTATGAAAAATGTGATGAAAAATGGATTCTTTTTGACGATCACAAGCGTTTGGCACAATGGTTGAATAAAGATGAAGTGCTGAAACATAGTCCCCAAACTGAATATTCATCAAGAAAAGTTGATGGTACTATCTGGGTGATGGTACAAAAGCAATTTATGTAACCAAAATATATATACCCCCATAATATTCTGAAATTAAAAAAGACAAGCTAATTGTGTCTGTCTGGTGGTCCAGCACTTGTATTATCCACTACAGCTTTGTGACACCTCGTCAATAGATTATAGCGGATGTCTACTGCAACCCATTGGATGAAATGATGAGGATGCTTGTGATTAAACAGACAAGAGTGGTCAATAGGGACAGGCCAATTCTCTTGCAAGACAACGCTCAACCACATGTGACACAAACAATGCTGCTCAAACTACAGAAGCTGGACTCAGAAACTCTCTGTCATTGCTGTGTTCACCAGACCTTGCACCAACTGACTCTCACTCCTCAGGCTTTGGATGACTTCTTTTTTTTTTTTTTATTTCGGCATATTATGGGGTACAGATTTTAAGGTTTCAATAAATGCTCTTCTCCCCTCCCCCCACAAGTCTGAGTTTCCAGCATGACCATCCCCTGGATGGTGCACATCTCACTCATTATATACCCTCTCCCCCTCCCACCTGCCCAATACCCTATTACTATAGTACCTATGTGTACACTTAGGTGCTGCTCAGTTAATACCAGTTTGCTGGTGAGTATACGTGGTGCTTGTTTTTCCATTCTTGAGATACTTCACTTAGTAGTATGGGTTCCAGCTCTAACCAGGAAAATATAAGATGTGCTATATCACCGTTGTTTCTTAGAGCTGAATAGTACTTCTTGCAAGGAAAAATATTCAATTCTCAACAAGCTGTGGAAAATGACTCTTGCTATTTTATCATACTCGGTTTCCAGGCTTCTTCACTGCTGGCATACAAAAGCTACTGTTTAGATGGCAAAACTGTGTCAATAGTTTAGCCTCATACTTTGATTGATTGTACTGCTTCTTGTTTGAAATATAGTAAACTAAACTTTTGATTCAAAATCAGACATTTCATATTTAATCACCTAATACTAATACAAATCATTTGTGGATATTGTGTCTGTTCACACAAATACATATTCCAAGCAAAATATTTAAAAAGAGAATTAAATTGACAGAAGTACATTTATTCTGAAACTACCACAAAAGAGTACATGCTTGGAAAAAATGTATTGTTTCCATACTAAGAGGTTTGAAATTAAGCATCAGGAAAAATTATGGTAAATGACATATTCTTTAAAATTTTACATAATATTTAAAATATTTTAGATCAATTATTGCAACTTACTATACTATTGCTGACATTCTCTTTTTAAAAATTTTAAATTTAAGCTTATATCTGTAGGGATATCTACTGGTTGATTCTTTTAAGTATTTTGATCAAACAGAAAATGAGGATGACATAACTAGGCACAGAAAATTTGAGAGATAGGAGGGATCATACATATTATTTAGTTGCATTGGCTGCTTATTTTAGGTATCTTATACAATATTACCCTAAGAGATCCATTTTTGAGTGGAAGAAATTGTTTTTAAAAATGAAATTTATTAAGTTATTTTTTTTGTCACCAATAAAACACCCATTTTAAGTATACAGCTTGGTGCCTTTTGACAAATGTAGACACCTGTGTAATTGCCACAACAATCAAGATATATAGTTCTATCATCACAGAAACTTCCTTTGTGTCATCCACAGCTCCAGGCAACTGCTGATGTATTTTCTGTCACAATGTATTAGTTTTCTATTCCGTAATTACAGACACATGTAATCATAATATATATGCTCTCCTGTTTTGGCTTCTTCCACTCAGCATGTTGGGATTCATCTATGTTTTGTGTGAACTAGTATTTTGCTCCTTTTTTACTTCTGAGAGTTATTCCTTTGAATGAATAGTATGTTTTTAAATCTATTTATATATTGATAGTCATATGGTTATTTCCAGTTTTTGGCTAATATGAAAAAAATGTGTATGATTGTATGGCACATGTTTTCATGTCTTTTAAGTAAATATCAAGCAAAATAAATGCTGGCTCATTATAGTAAGTGTGTGTTTATCTTTATAAAAATATGTCAAATCATTTTCCAAGGTGGTTGGATCATTTTACATTTCTACTAATAATATATGAGAATTCTAGTAACTCTATATTCTCATTAGCAATTGGTATGGTCAGCCTTTTTCATTTAGCTACTCCGCTGGATATGTAGGGGTTCTAATTTTCTTTCCCTAATCACTAATAAAGTTAAGTATCTTTTCATGTGCAAATTGGCTATTTTTATATATATTCTTTTTTGAAGTGTCTGTTCAAACTGTTTGCCTATTTTTAATAGGGTTGTTTGTCTTATTAGATTGTGGGAGTTCTTTAAATATTCTGGATATGAATCTTTGATATGTATATCAGTTTTCTTCCATTCTGTGGCTTGTCTTTTCTTGTTTGTAAAAGAGTCTTTTGAATAACAGAAGGTTTTAATTTTTATGAAGTATAATCTGTCAATTTATTTATTGGTGCTTTTTGGATTTAAACAATCTTTAATCAACATCACAAGGATTTTCTACTGTGTTTTATTCTATATAGAGATTTTACAGTTTTAGCTTTTATGCTTAGGTCTATGATTTATTTTGAGTTGATTTTTGTGTATGGTATGTGACATAAAGGTTGAAGTTTTCTTTTCTCCTTATGAACATCCAGTTCCAGTAGAATTTATGAAAAAGACTGTCTTTTCCCCATTGAATTAACTTGATAAGAATCAGCTGACCATATTCATATAAGTCTATTGCTGTACTCTACTGTGTTCCATTGAGCTGTAAGTCTAGTCTAATGTAAATTGCATACTTTCTTGTATCTGCAGCTACAGTGGTATAATCCTAAAATTGGGTAGTGTAAATCCTTCAATTTTTTTCTTTTTCAAAATTTTTTTTTTTTTTTTGCTTTCTCATATAGATTTTAGAGTCATCTTGCCAATTTCTACACAGTACTCTTGCATTTTCATTGGTAAGTTCGTTAATCTCAATTTAGGATAACTGACATGGTAACAATATTGAGTCTTTCAATTCTGAAACACGGTCCATTAAAAATCTAAAAATTTAGATTTTTAAGTTTTGTTCAGGAAATTTTGAGGTTTTCACTAAATAAATTCTGTACAAAATGTTTTAAATTTATGCTCCAATATTTCTTGCTTTTATATTTATAGTAAATGGTGTTATTTGAATTTTATTTTCTGATTGTTCATTGCTAGCAAATAAAAATAAAATTTATTTTTTGTATATTCTCCTAGTATGCTGAAAACTTGCTAAATTCACTTGGTTCTAGGAACTTCTTTGTAGATTTCTTAAGATTTTCTATGTGCATGACCAGAATATATGTGAATATAGGCACATTTATATCCTCTTTTCCAACTTGTATCCTTGTTTCTTTTTAGTCTCTCATTGCACGTGTGGTACAATTCTGAATAAAAGTGATGCAAGCAAGAGCTTTGCCTTGTTTCCATTTTTAGAGGAAAAGCTTTCCGCCTTTTACCGATATGTATTATGTTTGCTGTGAGATTTTTGTAGATATCTTTTATTAAGTTGAAGACATTCTCTTTCATCTATAGTTTGATGTGATTTTATTTTTGTCATAAGAGGCTTTAAATTTTGTGAAATGTCTTTTCTATATCTATTGAGACAATCATATGGAATTTACCCCTTTTTATGTCAAGTGCATGAATTACATGTCAACTGTGTATTCCTGGGATACATAAACTCCACTTTTTTATGTTGCACATTCCTGATGTTGTTGGATACAATTTCTTCATATTGCATTAAGACTATTGTTTCCATACTTGTGGTAGGCAGAATGATGGCTTCCCCAAATATGTCCACATCTTAATCTCCTAAACCTGTGGATATGCTACATAATATGACAAAAGGAACAGGTTAAGAACCATTAGATGGGGATATTATTCTGGATGATCAGGGTGGGCTAAATCTAATACCCTGGGTCTTTAAAAGCAGAGAAACTTTCCTGGCTTTGGTCAGAGAACTGTGATGCTGCCGGCTTTGGAGACCAGGAAAGGAGATATAAGCCAAGGAATGTGAATGGCTTCTACAAGCAGAAAAAGGCAAGAAACTGGGTACTGCATTCGTAGGGCACCAAGAAAGAAATGCAGCCTTGCTAAACCCTGATTTTAGCCTAGTGTGTCAGATTTCTGACCTACAGAACTATTAGATAATAAATCTGTGTTGTCTAAGCCACTAAGCTTGTGGAAATTTGTTCCAGCAGCAAGAAAAACTAATACAATGTTCATGGAGGATATTTGACTGTAGTTTTCTTGTAGTTTTCCTAGTGTGTATTATCAGGGTAATACTAACTTTGTGAAATAAGCTAAGAAGTGTCCTCTCTCATTAAATTTTATAAAACAATTTGTGTAATTATACATTATTATTTCCAAAAATGTTTGATAGATTTCACCAATGAAGATATCTTTACTTTTCTTTACTTAAACTTTACTTTTCTTTGTGGGCAGGTTCTATATTAAAATTGAATTTCTGTGATGAATATAGGGCTATTCACATTTTCTAATTCCCCTTCTGTCTTTTTTATAATTTTTATATGTTTATTTTATTTAAAACTTTTAATGAATTGGGATAATTTTGATTATAATATCCCCTTATGACTTTTCAATGTCTGTAGCATTTCTTATAGTAATATTCAGCTGATGAATTTTCACAACTTCATTTTTGTCTGAAAAAACATTTATTCTGTCCTCATTTTTGAAAGATAGCTTTCTTAGATACAGGATTTTAGGTTAACAAGCTTTTGTCCCCCCCTTTTAATGCTTCACAAATGAGATTTCATTTTCTTCTGGTTTGCATTGCTGCTGAAAGAATACTCCAGACTTTCTTTTTCCCTTTGTGTGTATAATAACCTTTTTTAGCTGGCTGATTTTAGGATTTTTTCTTTAACACTGGTATTAGCCTGGGTTTGATGAGCCTTGCTATGATTTTATTTGTGTTTATCATGTTTGGAGATTAACTGAGATTATTGAATATGTGCTTTTTAGTTTTTCATTCATTTAAAAAAGTCTTGGATATTATTTTAAAAAATTTTCTTTGTTCTCTTCTCCTCATCTTTTCCTTCTGGTATTCCAATTTCACATGTATTAGACAACTTTAAATTATCTACCTAATCATTGAGACTAGGCTAATTTTTACTTTTCTCTCTCTCTTTCTCTCTGCTTCTGTTTTGTAGATTCAATTGCTATGTTTTCAGTTCATTGATTTTTTTTCTTCTGCAGTGTTCAGTCTAAGTCTGCTGTTAAGCCCATGTTTATATTTCCAGTTTCAGATATTAGATTTTTCAGTTCCCAAGTTTTGATTTGTTCTGTTCTTTAATTTCAGAATATTATGAGGGTTCAAACATTTTGGTTACATACATTGCTTTGGTATCATTTAAGTCAAAGTTAGACGTGTGCTCATTCCCCAGATAGTGTGCACTGTACCCGTTAGGTGTGAATTTATCCACCCCTTCCTCCCCTCTTCCACCTGCTTGATTTCTGATGAATGTTATTTCCATATGTGAATATAAGTATTGATCCATTAGTTCTAATTTAATGGTGAGTGCATGTGGTGTTTGTTTTTCCATTCTTGTGATATTTGACTTAGAAAAATGTTCTCCACTTCCATCCAGGTTAATACAAGCAGTATTAGTTCACCATTTTTTTTTTAATGGCTGAGTAGTGCTCCATGGTATACATATATCACATTTTATTAATTCACTCATGTATTGATGGGCACTTGGGTTGTTTCCACATCTTTCCAATTGTGAATTGTGCTGCTATAAACATTTGAGTGCAGGTGTCTTTTTTACAGAATGTCTTTTTTTTTCCCCTTTGGGTAAAGATCCAGTAGTGGGGTTGCTGGATCAACTGGTAGTTCTACTGGTTTGTTCTTTGAGGTATCTCCATACTCCTTTCCAAAGAGGTTGTACTAATTTGCAGTCCCACCAGCAGTGTACGAGTGTTCTATTTTGTATCTTATATTTCTCCTCACTATATTCACTTTTTCCTTTAAATTCTTCAGTAAATTCACAAAAGTTGTTTAAAAGTTCTTGTTCACTAACTCTATCTTCCCTATCATTTCTAGATCAGTTTCTATTTACTGATTTTTTTTATGTTTATGTGTCATTTTTTTTTTTTTTACTTCTTGTAATGTATTGTAATTTTTATCTGAAGCTGGATATTGTTAGTATTATGCTATTAAGTATTGGGATTTTGTATTTTTTCTTTCAAAAAATATTCAGTTTTTTTTGGCAGACAAGTTATTATGGGTAAGCTTGATCTTTTTGTACCTTGTTTATAAACTTTATTGGAATGGATCTAAATGAGCTTTTAGCTTTAAATAAGCTTTAATATCAGGTTGATGTATTTCCATAATTATGCTGTGACCTTTCTATAATCTCTAGACAATCCTTGAGGTGTCCAACAAAATATCTCTATTCTGCATAGTTGAAACTCAAATACCTCCCAGCCTGATGTGAGTTCTGGAAAGTATTCAGCTTTGTAATTCTTTGCCTTATAAAGTTTCACCCTATTCATGTGTATCTTAGTATTCAGCAACATATTTAAGGGAACTCCTATACATATTTTTGGAACTCCTTTTATGAATAGCATTTTTTTCTTGTGCTCTGCCTTGAAAATTCTAGATATCTCAACCTCTCCAAACTCCATCTCTGTCTTCTCAAACCAATAAGATCACTGTGTTGAGCTTGGATTTCTTCTTCCTACACCATGGTCTGGAACTTGTGCCAGATAAAAATCTGAAGTGAAGGTGTCACTTTGTTTTTCTTCTCTCAGAGATTACAGCCCTATACTGTCTATTGTCCAATATCTAAACTCAACTCTTTCATATATTTTGTCCAGTTTTCTAGTTTTTTTTTTTAATAGTGAGGGGGATAGTTATTATTTCATGTCCAGAGACCAGCACAAGTTTTAAAAAAAGAAATCGATTTTAACCTCTGCTTAAAAATTATTTGGCCAAAAGTAACTTATGCCTTCTTGAAAAACTTAAATTATAAAACGTTCTGATTTTATATATTAAGCTGGAATTTTGCTTCCTATAACCTGCTCACAGATTATAGATATATCTTCAATTTGTAGGCTTCAGCTACATTGCCTAGGTCTGTTTTTTTCTTTCCCCCACATGACAGCTGTTTGAAATTTGAAGACAGAAAGTACTTTCTTCCCCAGAAATGGTTTTCTAAATCCTTCATAATCTTGGATACTTTTTATATATTGTCAGATTGCAGAGATTTTTTTCTGAAAATATATTGCTCAAGAATAAAAACAGAATTCCAGATATAGTCTGATGAAATCATGCATATGAAATTGATCTTCCATTATCAAAATAATAATTTTTCTTTAATACATTGTTACTAGCATACTAACATAGAATTTATATATATGTAACTTCAATAAAATGCCACTTTTAACCTCTATCTTATTAGGAAATACAGGATTATAGAATCACAGAATTTGAGGCAGAAAGAAAACTATTGAGAACAGTTAATGTAACCATATCATTCCTTTTTTAAAAGAAATTTTCATTGCCTTCCTATCACTTTCAACAGAATCCCAGCTCTTAATGGAGAAAACACAGCTTTATATACTTTTCTTCATTCATTACTCGTCTCTGGCTCTATGATTTTTTGCTTTAGTAATCTGTTATATATTTCACAAAGAGATTTATTTCAGGAGTTTTTTATACCATGCTATTTTCTGCTCCTAGAGTGTCCTTTCTAACATGATTTCTTAGCTAAATATACATATCAGAATCTTCACAGATACTGATTCATCAAGGAAGATGTTATCCTTTTTAAAGCACTAAGGGTGGGTTAGATGCTCGTTCTTTCACACTCATAACCTTTTCAATAACTGTCATTACATTTAGCATATTTTATCATAATTGCCAATGTACTAATCTATCTAGAATACTGAAAATCTTGACTTGTATTATTTATCTTTTTATCACTAGTATTTAGTAAAACATCTGGGGCATAGCATAAGTTAAATAAATGCTTATTAAGGACAAAATGAGTTTTATAAATTAAAAAATTGAATTCCAGAGAAATTAATTGATTTGTCTAAGGACACAGAGCTAAATCTTGATAATCAAGACATAGAACTGAAATTCTACAGGTTTTGGAAAGCTTAGTTTAATTTTTGAAGATTTAGTTTTTATATCTTAAATGGAGAAAACCCAGGTAGGCATATATCTTTGCCTAGAAATACAATACGTTTTTCTTGAAAGCAGTGTTAGGCAAATGTTTATGTATTAAGATTGTCCTGAATTGGTGTTTTGATTTTTTAATATTGGTTTTCAGATTTGTTTTGCATCTCAATGAGCTTCTTTAAAAATCAATATTTTGAATTCGTTATCTGGCCTTTTGAGGAGCTCCTTTTGATTGGGATGTGTTGCTGGAAAGTTGTTTTGGTTCTTTGTGGTGGTGTCAAATTTCCTTGCTCTTGAATGTTTCCTATGTCCTTCCATTGCTATCTGTGCATCTGCTATAGCAGTCACTTCTTCCACGCTTTTGAAATTGCTTTTATAGGGGAGAATTTTTTTCTGAAGATGTATATATCTTGTTGATTGAGTAGGACATTTGGCTTTGATTCTGGGTACCTGCAGTAGTGCAATTTTTATGTGATTTATTTGGCAGTACAGAGGGTCACTGGTATCTGTGGGTTTGTTGGTGGCCTAAGGTATGATTATTTATTTGAGACTATGGGAAATTGTGCTTGGGACTAGGATGACACCTGAGCTAGTCTTTGGGCCCTAGTAGTAGCTGCAGTGGGTAGCTTACACTGTCCCTGGTATTGGTGGGTCCTGAAGGGCCAATTCTTGGGCCTCCAGATAGCTTTCTCAGGAGCTAGTAATAGGGGCTGGATGTGTGGGCAGGTTCTCAGGCCCACAGCTGATGTGGACAGCTGATGTGATGTGGGTGATGGCAGAAGTGGTAGTGGAGCAACCCACTGAAACCCAGATGGTCCATGTTGATGTTGGTGGCATAGCTAATGTTAAATTCTGGAAAAGGTGCCAGCTGTGGACCTGTGATGAGAGGGCAGGGCTCACTCAGACAAGCAGCATGGGCGAGGATCTATGGAGGTTGAGGTCCACTTGTATCTTGGTCTCACTGCACCCTGTTGCAGGGCAGTGGGTATTGTCCTATATAGGCATTGTAGAGCCTGGTTTCCCTTTCCCTCCCTGGCAGGGAAGTGGCTGCAGTATTGTCAGTCCAAAGTCAGCCCAAGGGAGGGGCATAGTTCATTGTTAAACTCTCAAAATGGTGCTGGCTATGGGCCTGTGGTCAGAGAGAATGGGGCCTTTCCTGGCAAGCAGCACAGGAAAGAGGCTGTGTCTCTGTCTCATAGCAGCTGTTTGCAGAGTGGTGGGTATTGCCCTAGGTGCATCTAGGAGAGCTAGATTTCCCTGTCCCCCCTCAGCCAGGTGGTGGCTGCAGCCAGATCAGCCTGAACTTGGCCCAAGGGTGGGGCATAGTCCAGCATTACACTCTCAACATTGCACCTTGAGCCTGTGACCAGAGAGAGGGTGGGGCCCCTTCCAGGCAAGCAGCATGGGCAAGAGTCTGTGGGGAGTGCAATCTCCTCATATCTCAGTCTCAATGGCAGCTCACTGCAGGGTGGTTTTGACTTTCTAAAGGTTGCATGGAAGCCCTCAATCTCCCTTCTCTCTCCTTAGAGTAGTGCAGCAGCTGCAGTTGTGACTGTAGACCTCTGGTAGCTAGGCTATCAAGATGGCTTCCAGCTGGAGGTGATATAGGCTCAGATGGCTGTGGGATTCTGTGTGGGTTTTCTCTCTGGAGCAATATCTCTGTGCAATCTTTAGGCAGTTTCCTATGTTAGGTCCACAGTTCATGTGAGTTGAGGGGTTCTACCATAGTAAAGATTGTAAAAACCCATTTTGGAGGGGGTGAAGCCCTGGAAATTTCTCTCTTACTGTTTCCTCACAACCAGGAGCTTCTCCTAACTCTCAGCCAGTGTCTACTTACTATTCTCCACTTGTTTGTTCATAAATTTAAAACAAAATTTCTATTGTATATTGGATTTGCATAAGTCTTTTGTCTTGCCTTTGGGCTGTCATCTTGTCTATTGATCATTCTTATGTGCCATTATTATATAATTTTATTATTGTGCATTCATTGCATATTAATTCATTTACTCAGTTCTTTGTATACCTTAGGCACTGTGTGAGGACACAGAAAAACAGCATGGAACAAGAAAGATAAGGCCCTTGCTTATTTGAAACAGTGAAAAAGACAGACCACAACGAGCAGAGAAAATATAGTTGCAAATTCTGCTGAGTTCCATAAAAGAAGTAAGATGGAGTATCACAAGACTGATTTAGACAGTGTACTCTTGGAAGAGGTCAACTGATTAGCAATCTTAATTCTTTATGCAAACTTAATTCCCCTTTGTCATGTAACCGAACATTTCCATAGGTTCCAGGGATGAGGACATGAGAACCTCTCTGGA